TTTATTTATTTATTTATTTATTTATTCTGGCCTGTATCAAAGCAAGTTAGGTGGCTATCATGTTTCCTATAGTGATAAACTCAGTTTTGTGACCTTGAAAAACCAGAACCCAACCCTTGAGTAACTTTGATGTTGCGTTAATTCGAACCCATTCTCACTCCCAAGTCGTCACATATTGACGCTTTTCCAAGGTTCCCTCTACGTCCGATTTTGACGCGCCGGGTACCCCCTTCACGTCAGTTACTGACGAGATGGGGCGAAGTCTGTTGTCATATTTTCCGAAAGTGTAGAAAATGCGCAAAAACTTGCGTTTCGAAGCCTGAAATTGCCTTTGTTAACTTTAGACATGCTGTCCCTGACCCTAGTACCTAAAATTAACCATTTTTAGAAAATGTCGGAAATTCACGTAAACATGTTCCAAAGCCTGAAATTACCTAATATTCACCATGGACATCCTACCCCTGATCCCAGTACCTAAACTTAACCATTAATCGTGATCCCTAATGTTAACCTCAGACCCCCGACGCAAAGACCCCTGGTGGCGCAACCCGGAAAAGCCGTGGGCGTCAAGGAGTGACGCGAGGGGGGTGCCCGGTGCGTCAAAACCGGACGTAGAGGGAACCTTGGAGAAAGCGTCAATATGTGACGAGATGGGAGTGAGAATGTGTAGTTAATTCTGCTACCACATCTGAGACAAAAAAAGACCACAACATTAACACAAAGAACCAAGAAACAAACAAACAGAAAAGGCAAAATTTACAGAAAATGACAGAAGTGTTTGAACAAATCAAACTTATGAGGGGCCGTGCAAGCCGTGCCACTCTCACATACCTATATTTTGCCTCTCACACATGTCCCCTCATACAAACTTGTACTTTTTGCAAATGTCTCCTAAATTCAGTTTCTGATTAATTTAAAGTTACACTAAATAGTTGTGAAATGTTGAAAAACTGTTTTAAAATTTAATCAAACTGCATGTCCTATTAATTTATTGGAACATTTTCTGTTTCAAAATCACTAAATGAAACTAAAGGAACTGGATTTTAAATAATGCAGTACAACAGTAAATAATTTATAATCTGATAACATGTATTTTTTTGTCTTTCTTTTTTTTGCTCCCTTCTTCAGGGGTCACCACAGTGAGCAAACTCACTTTTGGCAATAGTTTTACTCTGCCCATCCTGATCCAACCACAGACCACCATTGTAATGTGTGTGTGTGTGTGGGGGGGGGGGGGGGGACTGTTTCCTGGGGCCCCCTAGATGGTAGGTTTAAGAGCAAATGAGGGAGTTTCACCTCCTCCACAGTCAAGAGATTCAAACCTTCCAATCACAGACCTGTCTTCTCTAACATGTGCTACTAATGTACTTCAATATGCATAAGTGAAACACTAAAAACAGTGAAGACTTAGAAAAAACTGTTTGTCTTTAAGCTCTTGTACCAGGTCATGTCAGTCCATGTTTGTAAGAACAATCAATTTAAACAGTTTCTGTGCTAAAATAACAGTCTGAGTTTTTTTAGGACATTAAGAAAGAGCCAGGGTTCTGTTTATATTTTTCACACAAATTAAGAGAACCAAACTAATAAATGACTTTTAGTGTTCATTTTCTCCACACATTATAATCAAATGGACTGGAACATGCAGGTTTTATTTTTACTCAACAAGAAGAAAATTAAGAAAAGTTGCTGGAAGCTTCTGGCAAAAGTGCTGCCACTTGGTCCAGAATTAAAAGATAAAAATACTTTTTGTTAAGACTTGTCTTTGTTTCCTGTTCACAGTGCTTTTAAGATAATTCATTGGTGGATTTCATACAGTTTTGGGCACTTCCCCCTTTCATTCTGAATGATAAATAGCTCTTGGCCCAAGCAGAATTTCAAAGCCCCAAATTTACAACAAAGGGACATTTTTTTCCTGCATTAAGATTACAAACTTGTTCTTCTGGAGCGCACTAAAATTATGCTGCTCATTAATATTTCAGCTTAGCCCTTCATCCTGCCTTATATCACGTTACTTTACCTTGGTCTCCTTTGCGATGTGGTTTGTCACTTCTGTGTTGCTTTCAGTGGAATGATTTGCCGTCTTCAGGTGACGGAAACTGTAGTAACTCTTTAGGTCTCCGATCTGCAGAAACACACATAAATCCTTTTAATAACCTTTCTGCTCTATTTATTTATATATTTATTTTTATTTCCTTTTTTTTGTTGTTGTTTTCATTTTGAAAAACTTGCTGCTGCTCTTGTTTGGTCAGTGTTCTAAGCAGATGTTAAATTATTAAAACAGCTGTTGGTGTCTTTCATTCAGGCAGCTACCTTACACCTGTGATAGTCTTGCAGGTAATGAAACGTGAGCTACAGGATTTCAGCCATGCAGCAGCTGTGTGCGTGTGTGTGTGTGTGTGTGTGTGTGGGGGTGTGTGTGTGTGTGTGTGTGTGTGTGTTCTAGTCAGTGTGTGCCTTAAATTGTATATGTGAACAATTAAGTCATGATGTAAGCACTTTTTTTTAATACTAAGCAATTTATGTTTAATGTAAGAAAAGCCATTAATGAGCCGTTTTTGTGACAGAGGAGAACGATGATTTATTCCCTCGGTGGCTACGTTGTTACAGTTACTTTTTTTTTTACCTTAGCACTATAAAGATGCCTTTTTAGCTTTAATTGAGCTTTCTAGTTCATTTTTTTTTACCAGCGAGGATTTAAAACCTGAAAGTTTCATTACAGCAACTAACCCAAGAGAGCAGCTGAGTTTTATAGGCATAGTTATTAATTTTTAAATATTCATGTGACCATTCAGTGACTAAAACAGCAAACTTTATCACTGTTTTATTTAGGGTTTTGCAACATTAAAAAAAACAGTGATGAAGATAATCTTGTAGGGTTTAACTGTTAAACTTTAACTTTTAACCTGAAATTATTTAATTGTGGGAAATTAGATGACATTTAAATGCATGAGTTTAAAATCATTTTTGTCTATTCTTCTTCTATGTACAGTATTTTTAATAATGATCCGCTGTAGTAATAAGTTGCTAAATGTGTCATTACTTTTCAAATAATTTTAGACACCACAAATACTACCCATGGGCGTTTTGAAAGAAATATGACTCTGCATGATAAAGCTTGTTTTATTTGACCATACTGAACAATTTTATTAGTGCAGCAAAATTTTATCTTTTATGTTAAACTGTTAACAGAAAATAGTATTTTCCTGTTGTTTCCTTGTTTCCTCATTTGTCTGTATGTGTAAAACAAAACTTAAAAATATGTGTCTTGTATTTTTTTCTTTACAACTGCTCTTCAGCACACTTACCTGTCCCATATTGGTGAATCCATATTTCTCCGCTATCCTGTTCACCAGCTCAAGGTCCCCTCTTATTTTTAAGGCCCAGTTGTTCGTGTAAATCATCGCAGGACAAAACTGTAGGAGAGCTCCCATCCACAGGGTGAAAAAAAGCATTTTTCCTTCCTGCTTGTGAGCAAATAACAAGCTTTCTTAGAAGATTCACGACTGGTTCCTGCTCCCAGTTGTGCTAAAGGTGCTTCTCATTTCTAAAAGTTTAACTTTGTATTAATAATAAAAATAAAAACACGGGTTAAAAGTGTTCTGGATGATCTGCATTAATGGAAGGATGTTTGTCGACTGAAGCTGTCAAAGACTTGACTCTGTCTCACTGGCAGCAGCCGCCTATCAGATTACGTTAACATGGGAGCCACAGATTAACTAATCATGTCCGTTCCTTTTAATGACCTCACCGTTGTGTTGCACAGGTTTGCAGGTTTGTACAAAAACATGCACTTGTCTACAGCATTTGCTGCCACTTTCTCATTAGGAAAACAGGTATGGAACATTTCAAAAGATACAGGTCAAATGACCAAACATAATATTATTTACCGTTATTTAACCAGGAAAGTCCTGTTGAGATCTCAGATCTCTTTTTCAAGGGAGGTCTGGGCCTGAAGGAAACCTATTGTACATG